AACTTATTAGCACATCTGTATAATTTGCTAGTAAATCATTAATAGCCACTGTGAGCATTAATGAGTTAATGTTTTACAAGTAGATAATATATTTTGTATTAATACCCCGCAATAATGTATGAACCATTTTCTACCTCACCATCAATGGATTAAATAGTAAAGTAGACTGGGCTCATAAACCTTGATGGCAACTTGTTTAGGAGGATAACTCTGAATTCAAAACTGTGGAGAAAGCAACAGGAAACTACTCTACCATCTTTCTTAAGAAGTCATGGTAATTCACAGATAAAAAAGAAAAGGAAACTGTGGAGAGTCATGATCAGCTACCCGTCCTGGGTATGACGATAAACTATATTCACATCCTGGGTATGATAAGAAACATTCAGTGTCCTGAATAAGATGATGTACTACATCTGCATCCTGGGTGGGATGATGGGCTGCATCAATGGTGGGATCTGGTCTGGAGGTTTTGAGGAGCATGGAACTGCCTCTTGACTGCTGGTGTTCCCGGGTCTGCCCTGACCCAAAGTGGTGGCACCTGTTGAGGTCTTAGCTATGGGCAGGTGGTTGAGTCCCCCAAACTGGGGTCAAAGCACTATGAAGGTGTGAAAGTGGGTTTTAGTACTAGCAATGCATTTTTGTAAAAAGTTGTTACTAGCAATGAATTTTTGAAGGAGGGGATTGTTGCCAGCAATACGTTTTTTGAAAAATATATTACCACCGCAAAAATGAAAAAAATATATTACCAGCGATATGTCTTTGAAAAAATATATTACCAGCGATATGTCTTTTGAAAAAAAAAAAAATACCAGCAATACATATAAAAAAAAAACAATATCCAGCAATACATTTTTTGGAAAAAAAAAAAAAGCATCTGTTAGGGGGGTTCCAGCTATGGGCAAATAGTTAACCCCCAAACTGAGGTCAAAACACTATGAAAGTGTAAAAATAGGTTTTAATACCAGCAAGAAAATAATATTACCAGCAATAGATTTTTGAAAGAAAAAACATTACCAGAAAAACATTTTTCATGAAAAAATATTACCAGCAATTCATTTTTGAAAAAATTATTACCAGCAATAAAAATCTTGTTGGCATTAAATAACCCATTGAGGTTGATATGCCGTAAAACAAACCAAATCATGATCATCTACATCCTGAAAGGACATGGCATTAAACAAAAACAAACCCCGCAAAACCTACCTTGTTAAATGAGGGATTTTGTAACTAAGTATCCTAGGAAGTTAACACTCTATATTTTGAAGCTTGGACAGTTTTTAATTTGTAACAATAGGGCAACATCCAACATGGGCCCAAAATGGCCCAAATAGCAGAGAAGAGTATAAGGTGGTGTCCCTAAAAATGGATCATACTGTAAGCCCTTTCTCACCAGCAATGAGATCTATTATCTTCAGCAATGGGATTGTTTTGTGATAGATCATCAAGAGAGGTCAAAGGTCATCAGAGGTGATTTATTTGAATAATTTGGCAAAAATATGATTTTTGGTGTTAAAATGCACAAGTGAGATGGATGCAACCTGATGTCAGCTGCTTTTTTTTTTTTTTTTTTTTTTTAAATAGTTCCAATAACTGATTCTTGCTTAAAGAGCTGAGTTCTGAAACTACAAAAAAATGATACACCAACAATAGATTCAAAGATCTAACAGCAAAAATGTAGGCTATATAAATATTCTGGCAGGCTGAGTAAACTTATGCAGCTGAGTTGCTGCTGAAGTATGTATGGGATAATGACAAGGAAACACATGTGTTATATTTAACAAAACAAGATAAAGAATTTATTTAGAAGTTAATACATTTAGAGTTATCAGTAGCTTGTTTCAGGAAAAGGAATCAAATATTTAAAGTTCATAGTTTTGATGAATTGTCAACAAGAGAAAATATTCATATTAAATCATTATTTGGACTATTGTCCTCATCTTTATCGCCATATTTATTGCAATGTTTTGGCCTTTGTATACTCCGGCCTTCTTCAGGTGGTTGGAATGTCAAACTTAACCCTTTATTTCGTTCACTGGGGTAGACTGTTCTAGTTCCATGTGCCATGTTTAATGGATGTCAGTTATCTCCTGTTAATTTTCCCTCTGAAAGTTCTCCACTGTTCTAGCTGGGTATTGAACTCACACTCTTTGGGTCCTGTCACTGGATCTAACTAATGCCGTTAACCACTGCCATGTGTCCTTGAGAACATCTGTGTATGAATTTCTGGGTATTATAAACCTAACGTCTTCAGCAACCATTTTTTTTTTTTTTTTTTTTTACCAGTGCTCATATTGCAATTTTTGCTGTTATTATTGCATGTTTTTACAAGATTTTTTTTCGTTATTTCCGCTTTTCTCTGGCACTCTTTATTACTGGTTCCCATATTGTATTCATTTCTATGCTTGGTTGGTTCAGGAGATTTTTGTGGCCTAGCATATGTGCTGATTCCTTAAGCTTTCCAATGGTGTTCTCTGTCTATGATCTCAACCTCATCCCACAGAGGGTGGTGATCTCCCTTCTCTCTCCATATGTGGTCAGCCACACCTGATTTTTCCACTTCTCCTCGTGTTACAGCTTTCTGGTGTTCTTGAAGCCTTACCTTAAGGGGGCGGCCTGTCTCCCCTTTATATTTCTTTACACAGCTGCACGGGATATTAAATCATTGGGCACAAAAAGTAAAATTCCAAAATATTTAAAACAAATTGAGAGAGAGAGAGAGTTTTTCACATAAAAATTATAAGGTATTCAACATGAATGACAAGATATATTTTAAGGTACTTAGCTTTGGAGTTGAAAAGAGTTCTTTGAATTTACCCTGCTTTCATTAGAGCTGTGGTTCTCAAACTTTTTGAAGTCAGGGCGCAGTTGAAATCCTACCAATAGGTGCACTATATACAAATTTCGGAAAAATATGTTATAATAAAGTCAAATATTGCAGGAAAGAAATAATGCAATACAAAAATATAAAATGAAACATACCTTAAGTTTATTCATTAGAGTAAGTTATCCCAATTGATGTGGTTATAATAAAGTAACTATTATTACATTTGCTTATAAACAAATAAGTTATAAATTATAAATTCCTATGAAAGTATAAATAAGACAACTTTTAAATAGACAATCCTTATCCTCGTCATCATTTTTATGTTACATTACATCTCTTAGTAATCAACTTTCTCGAACTGGGCATGGAAGACTGACCAGCAACTCCTAACAGATCAATAAAGCAAAAGCAAAACAAAAGCTTCCTATCATTGAAGCTTTCCTCGAGTGCTATCCACAACGGGACGGACAGAGCAATAAAGTATTTATTTTTCTTATATCTGGACACAATTTCTCTGGAATGCCAGGGCGCACTGGTGCACCCAGACGCACCATATTGGAGAATCACTGCATTAGAGACTGATAATGTATCAGCGTGTAATTTGACACCAGCGTTATTCAAACGCATGGAACTCTGCTCCTTTCTGTCTCGATTCAACTTTTTCTGTCTATCAAAAAGCGATTTGACATCGGCCTTTTTCTCACTTTGTAAGCCGCTTTCTTTTCCATTGGTCAAAATAAATTTTCACGTAGGCTCGTTAAACTTTCCCTTGTTTTTTTCTTCACCTCGGAGCCAATCCCTTTTTCTATTGGTCAAACAAAAAAAATAAATTTTCGCACAGGCTCGCGAATTTGAAAACAGTGAAGAAAAGAGTTATTTTCATTTCGTATTCTCCACACTGCAAGCCCCCGGAGAAAAAATTTTAAAACTTGACCAAAGAACATTTTTAAAGGCTATAGTTATTAGAACGTATTCTAAGGTCGATATTAAATACGTCAACCCATTGGATTATAATTCTATCACTAATAAAATAGTTTTAACAAACATTAAAAAAACCAAAAAAAAAAAAAAACCTATCCATTTTGTTTTGTTGAAAAACTCACACAAAGTAGTTTTTTGAGTTCGAGCTTCTTTGTTTTCGCTGGTGCGTGTGACATTGGGGTTTTACATGAGAATTTTAAAATTTATAGTATTAATTAAACAAAGGAACATAAAATCGGGGTTTTACACGAGAATTTTAAAATTCAAACTTTTTTTTTTTTTTTACTATCCTTAATTAATTTCTCTCTCTAACCGCTGACCAATTACTGAGTGAAAAGAAAACTCAGTCATGCAAAATGAGTTAGTTAGGAAAGGAAGATTTATTAGCTAGGAAAGGAAGATTTTTTTGAGAAGTGAGAAAAAGATTTCTAATAAATAAAAATAAATCATTAGAAATTCGTTTTTCACTTCTTTTCTTTTTTTATAGCAAAACTGAAAGAAACTATATTTTTTTTCTGATAGTGATAGTAAATTTGATTAAGAATTGCAGGAAGTGTAAGTGAATGATTGTGTACATTAAATTCTATTTTTGTTTATTCTAAAATAATTTGTTTTCTTTTTACATTTTAAATGTTTAATTAATACAAACAAAAAGTGAATGTGTTCTATTTTAAATTACATGATTCATTCATTTGATTTTTAAATTGACAAAAAATGGCTTCTAGTTTGTAAAAAATAAACATATATCAACTTTAACTGCAAATTATTTTTTAGGCTTGGGAGGAGTATTAAGTTTAAGTTAAGTGAAGACAATATGAAGTGAGGATGAAATAAACTAAAAAAATTATTGTTGTTAATTATAAATTATTCGTTTTTTAAGATCAATTCATCGATTTACGTTTCGCTCGAAAGAAGAGAGTTCATATGTTTCTTTCTTTAGTCAAGCTTGTATGTATTTTTTTAGGCTTATGTGGGCATTGAACTCATGGATCCTCATCATGTTGTAATAGTCAGCAAGCTAGAGTTTAGGACTTTTTTGTCGCGAGTTCGATCTTCACTTAACACCTGAATAATAAAATCTGCATTACCCACGCTGTACGAGCGCCTGCTTCCGTTTCGGAAGCAAAACTTACGCATGCGTAATACCACGTGGCATTGGCAGGCAACAATGGCGTTTCAACAGGAGTATATGCAAATGCCTCCCATTACGAGGGCCTACACTACAGCATGTGTCCTCACCACAATTGCAGTGGCAAGTATATTATAATCCATCTTAAACTCTGGAGGCACTGAATTGATATTAGTTGCAAATCTGCGCATAATTTTCTTCCTTTTTAATTTCATAAACCAGCTTTTCTTTTCGTTCCTTGCGTGGTTAGAGATCATTCTCTCTGCGAATTGTATTTTTTTGTTCTAATTATTTCTGATTACTAGAATGAAATTATTTAGTTTCTATCTAAGTAATGTTTGTTTATACTTGTCACTATTTCCAGTTAGATTTATTAGATTAAAATAGTAAAAATATCATGCACCGGAAACCTAATAAAGTTTGATTGAAATGATTACGAATATGTAAACACTCACTTAGTAAACAATTCATACTTTCTTTTATTAAATTAACGTTAGTGATGGTTGAAATATTTACAGTATCTTAATTAAAATGCTAAAATAGCCTAAGGAATAGCGATTATATATAGTTGTTTGGCTTCAATGTTGTCCAATATAATTACAGAGGTACTGTACTGTGTAAGTGTAAACAAACCAAGCTTTATAAATTCAAAGGCATAATTGAAGAAGGAAAAAGTAACCAGGAAAATTCCATTTGTTTTGGTATAAAAAGTTAACCAATGTTTTATTTATTTTGTAAGTTCATTTTGAAGAAAATAAAGGTGTAAAAATTTTCAATATGTGTAGTTTCTGTTTACCTGTACAATTCAGTAGTTTTATTTTGTGATTTGAATCGAAATTAAAGTGGTGATTAAAATCGAATTCATATGTCAAGTGTGATCAAACCGGCGGAAAAAATAGATTATGAAAGTTATTAAGTTTATTTAAAATTTTTTGATTGTTTTCAAAATTAAAAAAATTAAAATTAACCCATCCACTACATAACTTTTTTTTTTTTTTTTTTTTTGTGTGAATGTAAGAATATACAGTACTTTATTTTTAAAAACTTATGGTTTGAAATAGATTATTCCTCTCCGTTCTTTAAAATGAATATCGATTCATATTCGAATTAGTAGACTTTTTAGTTTTCAAATATACTCTTGGTTTTGGATTTAGTTTTTAAGAGCTTCCATTTGGCGATTTGTAGACTTAAGTTTCTTATTCATTTTTTAAGTTTTATTATTTTTAATTTAGTTCACGTTTTTTTTTTTTTTTACTAACAATTGTTTACTTCGCTTCGCCTGACATCTTATTTTTTTTCTCTATCGATAAACTTTAATGAAGATTTTAAGCAGTTTTACGAATAAACTTCTCGAATTCGATAAAAAAAACGTATTTTTTTTCTCGAAATATCCTTTTTTTATGGGGATATATTTATTTTCTATATGCGCCATATTGATTTTATTTTTTATTATCAGCAATCTTTTGTTTTAACTTTCTAAATATTTTTATTTATCCATTAAATTAAAAAACTAAATATTAAATGTCAACTATACGGTAAGAATTCACTATTTTTGTTTTAAAATGTTAATATAACGTAAAATTTTTAAAATTTATTAATCGAATTTGAAAAAAAAACTATGAAATCATCGATTTTTTTCTATCCTGAATCGGAAAAAAAAAAATAAAACTAAGACTTTATTTAATTAGAGAAGCTTTTAATTGCTTTTATTAATAATAAAGACAATATTGTCTGAAGAAAAAAAAATTTTTCGGCTAAAAATGAATTTTTGCAAGATTTGTTTCATTTTTTTTTTTTTTTTTTTTTTTTTTACAATTTTAAATTGAATAATTTAAAGTTTTTAAATAAATCTTTTAAAATTTATTTTCAATGAAATAATTCTTACGAAATATTCATATTAAGTAAAACTATATTTAAAGTTTATATTACAATCTGACGACCCTGAATATTTTAAAAACTAAAAAGAATTTTGTTTTTTTTTTGTATGTGTGATTACGTGAAGAATTTCTGAAGTATGGATATACAAACCTATAAGCATTTAAGTCGCATGTTTTAAGGGTTGTCCCCTTTTACGGCGAAAAAAAAAAAAGACTTTATCGTCTGCTTCACCATACTTATTGTACACGTTCGCCTGACAATCGAATATAAATAAATCGATTAACGGTTTATCAGAAAAACAAAACCCTGTAGTTAAGAAATATTTGTATGCAAATGCTATAAGTAAGTAATATTTGTTTCAAAATTTAACTTTAAATTTTCTAATTTTCCTCAAATAACGTTTCAGAAATATATTTTATTTTTTACAGTTTTTTTAAACTGAGAATTAACTTTTGTTTACGAAGGTATCAAAAATGGTAGTTTTGATCAATTTTAATGAAAAAAAAATCGATTCCGATCAATAATTTCTGTTTGAAATACACCACAGTATTTTGCTTACTGGAAATAGTAAATTTTAAATCCTTTATCTTTCAATTAAAGCTAAAAATTAAAATTTCAAGGAAGCTTTTTCATTTTTAAAAAATCATTTTAAACCTTATGTATTCTGAATTAGTGGAGGTACCTATATTAAATATTGATTTTAATTGTGTAATCTTTTTTCATTTTAATTTCCAACCAGAATAATATATTGTCTGATGCATGTGGTTACCAAAAAACTTTAATTATTCGTGTACAATATGCACCTCCTAACTTTGGATTACAACATTCTGGGGAGGGATTTCAGTTTATTGACTTTCTAGAATTTGTAGCAGTTAAATTTAACATCTGTTCATAATAAGAATTTATATTATTTACTTTATAATTACTTTGTTTTGAAGCAGCACTTACTATTTTTACAGACAAAAAAATGGAACCTGCTTTATGGGGGAAGTAAACTCAGGCCAAGGGGAACAAAATGATAAACAAACACATTTCAGTAGTTATTTCTCTGCATAAACAGAGGTGGATGTCCTTTTTGAGAAAAAAGGACAAATTGACTTTGTGTACAAAGACATCAAATATGATGACAACATAGAAAACTAAACTCCTATCATGTTTATCTTTGACCCATATTTTATTTTTTTAAACAAATGCAGTGTTTGATTAGAGACTCTTGGTTACACATTTATAGTTTGGAGTTGGACATAATTTATTTTTAGTCATACTGTCCCTAATATGACCAAGTATGTAGTTAGAAAATATGCTAATACTTAGTTTGTATGTATAATACACACGTCTAACTTTCAGGTTTAAAAAACATTGTCCTATCAAAGCAATAAAGATAAGTATTTGACAAGCAGAAATGTAATAGAATTTGTATATGGTTGTCAATGGTCAAATCCAATGGTTGCCAGCCTACCAACACTCAATACCAACATGCACAAACAATCAAGATATTATTCCTGTTGCCACTCAAATCTAGCAGTTTATATTGGAAACTGAGACACCTATCATTCGTCTGATCAAAAGTTGCATACCCTGCCATGGCTTAGGTTTTTATCTAATGAGTAGAACGAGAGAAGAGCATTCAGGAGGACAGTAGATAGTGATTGGCATTGCATTTAAATTCTTGTAGATTAAAGTTGGCTGGAAAGCATGGAGCTGGAAGGGAGTTCCACAAGTGAGAGGTGAGAGAAAAGAAACTGTTAGCATAGAAGTTATGGCTACATCTACTTAGCTCAACTGTAAATTGATGTGATCTCACTGCCAGTTTAGTATTGTGCTTAAATTCGTACAGTCTAGGTACCATACCAAAGAGCTCAACCGAACAGTTACCATGAAAGTATTTATAAAAAAGGTATAGAGAAGCAACCTTATAGTGGTGGGCAAGTGACTGAAGACAAGCTGCCAGATTAGGACCAGTAATATTGCTGATTCTTCTTTGGATCTTATCAAGAAGCTTCATGTAAATCACAGTGGCACTAGACCATATATGGCAACAATATTCTAAGAATGGATGAATGATTGACTTATAGATATGCAAAATAGATTCAGGAGAGAAGAATTGTCTCATCCAACATAGTGAACCAACTTTCTTAGCAGCTGACCTAGCAATGCACTTGCTGTAAATGTGTTGATGTGTTGGTTTAGCTTCCTGTAGCCCAGAACTGGGTGCACCTTATTTTTGCTCTCCTGCACAACAACCACCAGTGATTTATATAGGAAGCTGAGATGCTCATGATTGGTCAAATCAAAAACTTTCATACCATGCCAATTTCTATATCAATAAGCTTGAGGCTTGGCTTGGGGTTTTATTTTCTGGCAGTGAATACACACAGCACATGGATGTTTTGTCCAATAAGGAAAGTGACTTTCTTTGCTACAGTATTATAGAAGGTTGAATTGATTGTTTCTAGAGATTTGTAAGAAATAAGGAAAGCAATTTTTTTTCTTAGATCAGGAACTTTGTTTAAATGAATTTTTATTTTTTAATTGTAGACTAAAATAATTTTTCAGTGCTTTTTGTTGATACCACTATAATATAAATAAGTAATGCCGGCATTTAGGGAATAGGGTAATGGTAATATTAACTGTTTCTTTATACGGAAGCATTATTCATTGACTGAACAGCTAATGCTACATTTGGTTGAAATTTATGAAGTATTTCTCTAAAAACAATTTTTAAGCAAAATAGGTTTCTCAAATCTACTGTTATCACTCTTTTCAGTGTGGATGTGGGGGGAGTTTCTATGCAACCTTTTGTTTGAAGTCATTTGGAAAATTAACATCTTGATTATGTCATTGTTTTCTCTTTGAGTTACATATGTTATCCATTTTAGTTGTTGCTGCTGGCTTATGGCCACATCATGTTGAAACACTGGTTACTGAAGTTGAGCATCATCAAGCCTGGTCAGTACCTAGATGGGTTACTGCCTTGGGAATACCAGGTGCTGTAAGCTTGGATGTGCATGTGGTGTCATGGATAATGGCTCGGAATTGTTAATTGGAGAGCTGAGTTCCAATTCCAGTTAGGTTTGTTATATTCGCTTACTTGCAAATACCCTTGGGAAAGGTATGAATACACCTCTTCTTTTCCCATCTATGGGTTAATTAGTAAAACTTGTATCACTAAAGCATTATTTCCCTCACCAAAAAAAAATTCTTAGAATATAAAAATATTTTCTTGCTTTAAATAATCTGCAAAG